GAATGGTTTCTATTTCTTCATCCTCCCAGCTGGCTCCTAAGCATCATACAGCCTCTGGGAGTCCAAGACAAAATCCCTGAGGAGTTTTGCTTTGGAGTGCTTATTTTTTTTTCTCTCTGATGCACACAATTTTCCTTTAGCTGCTTGGATGGTTTGGATGAGAGAATTTTGGGCTGGTCATTGCTGACAGCAGACATCCTGCTCACCCTTTTGGTGGCTGAAAATGAAGATGCAGAAGTTTCTTACGCTAAATTGGATTAGTTTGAGGCAGGTTTCAGCTATGGCTTTCCATGGGCATCCCAAAGTGCTGCCAGGAGATGGAGATCAAGGTCTTCAGCTGTAGAATCATAGAATCATGGAATGGTTTGGGTTGTGAGGAACCTTAAAGCCCCCCTAGTCCCACCCCCTGCCATGGTCAGGGACACCTTCCACTAGACCAGGTTGCTCCAAGCCTCATCCAGCCTGGCCTTGGACACTTCCAGAGATGGGGCATCCACAGCTTCTCTGGCCAACCTGTCCCAGTTTGGATCAGCTGGGGAGGCCACTAAGCTGCTGAGAGGAGCTGGAGAGGTGGGAAATGGCAGCAGACATCTGCCCCCCATTTTGTTTTGCTATGCATTTTAGATATTTAACTTTTTGGTTTTTTTTTTTAAAAAAAAAAAAAAGCAACAGGGTATTTCCTTGTGTGCTTAGTGGGTTAAACCAGAATAATCCAGGTGTCTCCACGGCCATAGTGATTATCATGGCTTCTGATAGCGATGCTTTGGTTTTGCAAAGTTTTCCTTCTTTATCAAGGTAGCCGGGGAACAGAGGTCAAGGTGGGCAGCATGGCCCGGCGAGGAGGAAAACATGTGCCAAGGGAAGGATGCGGGAAGGATGCGCCTGTGCAAGCCTTTGCACGCTCCCTCCTGCAGTGTCTGGCTGGGAAGCGAGGCAGTAATTCTCAAATAATGCCATCTGCAGGGTGGGCTTTTTCCATAGCTGTCACCACAGGGCATCCCTGGCTTTGAGGGCCACCAAATTACAAGTAGCATTATCAATGCAAATTGATATATATGTGCGTGTGTGTGTATTTTACCAGTGGTACTGCAAAAATGGGATGGATGGATAGATAGATAAAATCATATTGTGACTTTCTGGTGGGTCTGTATGCTTGATTGATTCCCTCAATATGCAAAGGTCTTTGGATTTATTTCATGCACGTGACTGCTCTTGCACGCTGTAAGAGCAGCTACTCGATGATCTTGCACCCCCGTGCAAACCCCGTGCTTTTAAATCCCCCAGCAAAAATCTCAGAACGCGGCAGACTGGAGTCCTCCCGAGGCAGCGCTGGTTTCTGTACTTTGCTGAACGCCAGCTAGAAAGAACAGGCAATTTTCTAACTTTAAACGACCCCCAAGCAGTATCTCCCAATCAGTTCTCCCCTCCCTCGCTGGTGATAACCATCATGGGGAGGGGAAGTCAAGGAGAAAAGCAGCTTTTTAATTTTTTTGCCTTATACTTGATACGTTTTGTTAACATGCTCCTCTGCAGTAACGCCTTCCTTCATATTGCAACGCAATAAAATCAGCGCTCATGTTAGAAGTCTCTTTACTTCTGGAAAACATGGTGCCCTTGGTGCCAGGGATATCGGATGCATCTATATTCCTGACAGCTTTTTCTGTTTTCATTAAGTGAAAGAGGATACTTAGAGGCAAGCTGGAATAGGAGTTGGTTCATAACTCAGAGGAGAGCGAAGGCTGTGGGATGCAGGCTGCTGCTTGAGGGCTTGGGATAATTTTAATCCCTTCAAGAAATCCCCAGTTTAACCAGGATGCTGCATCCTGCGGTACCTCGGACGTCACATCGCTGTCGGGAGGAGAGGAGCAGGAGGGATAATGTCCCCAAACCTGGCTGGTTTTGCAGAATTGAATTAATTTGCATACAATTTATTGTAAACACAAATCTTTTCTGAATTGTTGTTTGGTTTAGGGAGGAAAAAATGATACGCTTGCCTTAAAATTTGTCATTTCAAAGGGTTTTGCTTGCTTGGTCCTTTCACTGGATCAGCAGTGGGATTTGAATCTGCCCAGTGATGACTTGCTAATAGAAGTAAATAATGCTAAAGCTTGACATACATTTAAATATTATTTAAAAATTTTTAAATCCTTAAAGGCTCTGCTGTTGAATATGGATTAACACGATCTTATTATCTGGATCCGTGTGGGAATGGTTGCTTTGGGCTCTCCCTGCAGTTCCTGGAGAGACAGTGCCATCTCCAAGCATCGTCCAACCAGCCTTGGCCTCCTTCATCCCTGCCTGGAGGCGTCTGTGGTTTTGGGGGATGAAAGAGGGGACGGATATGGGATAGGAGAGCAGGACCCTGGCTGGCGTTTCCATGACAAATCTTTGATTCTGTTATTTTTGCTTTGCTGCTGCAAACAAGCTCCATCCCAGGTGACAGCAAGGTTGCACAGCCCAATTTTGGTCCTGCGCACGTTCTCGGGGAACGAATGCATCTTGCACAGTTTGAGTCGGAGATGAATGCTGTGTCCGTATGCAGGCTGGAGTAATTTTATAGAATATTTGGGAAGGAGTTGCCTGCTGAGATGGATGTATAATATGCAGCACAGCGGTGAATATTTTGAAGGCTGCGGGGAGCTACGCAGATACATACACAGCAGTTACCAGGGCTGTCAGATAACCTGGTTTCAGGGCATTTGGATAACAAAAGGAGATGCTGAGATGTTTCCAGACTTCAGCTTCTCTTTCAGCATCTGCAGCTGTCTTTCCCAGCAGAGAACCAGCATTTCTGTAATTCCCCTGGTCGGGAAAGCTCTGCTAGCCGAAACCACACAGCAGCGTCTGGCACCTCTTCTGTTCTTTCAGTGATTAATCCTTTTATCGGTATTTAGGTGGAACATCAAATAAGCAGGATGTTCTTTGGGGATCAGTAGGTGCAAGCAGGAAAAGTGGGAATGGGGCAAGCTCCAACTGAGGGTTTCAAAGAAGGACGCTGTGTTGGGACAGTGTCTCGGAGGACGTGGTCTTCCACTTCTGATTTGTCGAAGCTGTCAACCCTGGGGGATCCTCTCGGGATCCTCCTCCAGGTGAATTTGGGAAGGCAGAATAAATATTGAGCTGTTCTGGTGAGGCTTCTGTGCAAGGCAGAAGCTGCTTCTGCGGATGGCAGGGTATGTCTCCATCTCTGAAAGGCAAATTAATAAACCCCCGTGATGTTTGTGTTTGCCTGTTTGCTTTCAGCTCGCTGGGTGATGCTTATCTGATTTGGTTTTTCCCTGTGGAATTTTTGCCTCCATTTTCTGCAGCCTCCTCTGGGCAAATGCTTTTCCCCTTTCCACTACAGGATAAAATGGTCCCTAATTTAAGATGCATTACAACCCTTTGCTCTTATCCCCATTTATCTTTCTCTTAATGTTCCCACTTTCCAGGCTGTTTAACGGATCGATTAGGACCCAGAGAAATGATTAATAACATTTTTCAGCTCCAAAACCAATGTGCCGCAATAGCATAGGAGATTCCAGCTGATGGATGGTAGAGGTGCAACTGGGTTATTTATTGACTGCTTTGTTGCAAGGAATGGTTATACAGGAAAATGTGTTAACTGGTCGCCTCAACGTTGAGAGAAAAATCCCTGAGGCTCAAGATGGTCTCATTCTTCTCCATCCCCTCTCGTGCATTGAAAATCCCTGAGGCTCAAGATGGTCTCATCCTTCTCCATCCCCTCTCGTGCATTGAAAATATCCTTAAAATATCCATCATCTGTTTATATTCCGATGCCAACCCCCAAGTATGGTTTATGGGGAATAAATCTTATTTCTATGGAGCAGTAGTCAAGGTGAGTTAGTACAAAAGATACAGTTTGTGCTGAAAATGCTCTGATTGCCACTGTGCCCCTCATCAGCGTCTGGTCTGCAAATAGCTCCTCGCCACGGCTTGTTGCCTAATGCGCACCCTCAATGGCATCTTGTTCGTAGCCTCCGCGGAGCAGCACCGCAAAGGAAAACGTCAGGTGAAATCAGAGCAGCGGGTTTGAAATCTTGCGCTGATGAAAATGCTTTTTTCCCCTTTTCTCCTCAAGGTTTAAGGTGTATATTTTGTTCCCAGACAGTCAGCAGGGAAATGGGAAATAACCTGTGTGACACCATGCTGGAGCAATAGCTTAATTTTAGCAAGAGCCTGAACCTCTGCCTCTCTCTTTGCAACGCTCACGGTGATGCTCAACGAACCCGTGTCCTTCTCTCAGGGCTGATGTGGGAAGTCGTGAGATGGGTATGGCCATGAATCATGGAATCATTTAGGTTGGAAAAGCCCTTTAAGATCAACAAGTCCAACCATTAACCCGGCACGGCCCACCCACCCCTGACCCATGTCCCTGAGCCCCACATCCACACGGCTCTGAAACCCCTCCCGGGATGGGGACTCCACCACCTCCCTGGGCAGCCCCTTCCAATGCCTGACAGCCCTTTCCTTGGAGAAATTTTCCCTAATATCCAATCTAAACCTCCCCTGGCACAACTCAAGGCCGTTTCCTCTTTCCTATCGCTTGTCACTTGGGAGACAGGACCAACCCCCCTCTCTGCACCCCCCGTTCAGGGAGCTGTAGGGAGCGATAACGTCTCCCCTGAGCCTCCTCTTCTCCAGGCTGAACCCCCCCAGCTCCCTCCGCTGCTCCTCACAGGAATTGTGCTCCAGACCCTTCCCCAGCTCTGTTCCCTTCTCCGGCCATGCTCCAGCCCCTCAGAGTCTGTCTTGCCATGAGGGGCCCAAAACTGCCCCCAGGATTCGAGGTGTGGCCTCCCCAGTGCCCAGCACAGGGGGACGATCCCTGCCTTGAGTTCAGCAATGAGCCTGTTTCTTTGGCAAAATATTTTACTGGCTCTTGTTCTTTTTTGTCTCGTGGCCAGGTTTGGAAGTTCAGGTGACAGCATCCCTTGCAGGAGAAGACCTTCAGGAAGGGTTTGCATGACTCTAATGATTTTAATACTCATATTTTGCAGGTGATGGGCCTCGTGATGGCTTGGCTGTATTGGCAAGAACTCAACGAGATCTACTCCAAGCTGGACACAGTTGACTTCAAGATCCTGGAGTTGCGGGATTTCAGCTTCGGGGCAGTGGATCTGAGCGGTGCGGGCTGGTGCTGGTGCTTGCCCAAGGAAGGGGGCTACATTCCCGTCAATGTTGAGGAGGAGGAAGATGAGGAGGAGGAAGGCACCATCTGCCAGAGCAAAGCGTGAGCAAGTGGAGGACTGAAAGGCAGCTTGGAGCAAAGCTCTTAGGGAGACGGTGGATGTGGACATAATGTGATTTATCTTCTCAGGCTCAGGAGATACTTTGGGGGAAACCGTGAAGTAACACTGGAAGGTTACGGAAGATGCAACGCACTGTGCGGGCACGTGAGCTCCCCGGCGTCCTTTTACTACCTTGGCGTTTTGAAGTGTTTGTACAGCTCCTTATTGGGTTTCTCGAGGGTTTTTTACACAATAAATGTGACTTCTGTTGTGTTTTGCAAAGTCGCTTCTACTCCCTGCACACCGGTCAGGCCATCAGGGAAGGAAGTGACACCGTCATGATTGCACTTTGGGGTAGTTCTGTTTAGCCAGATCTCCTGAAAAATAATGTCTTTATGACAGATCCCCAGATGTGTTCAGACCCGAGATGTGCCCAGGCCCCAGAAAGTCATAGCTAAAGGAAAAAAACCAGAGCAGTTTCCTGTGCAGAGCCCTTCCAAAGGGCTTTATTAGGAATCAAATTCCCAAGGAGGCACCAACTTGCACCTCCTGGAGCAACATGGCTGTTTGGGTGAGGGTTGCACAGGGGAAAAACATGTGTTTCGGAAGGTTTCCAGCTCTTCCCCATGAACTGCAGCTTCAGTTTTTATCCGAGGCAAGGACAAGGAGAGCCCAGCAATTTTAAAGGAAATTATAGCTTTATTGTGGCAGTGTGCTGCCGCTGGGGATGGTGGTAACCAACCTCTGGAGACCAACCTCTAACGGCCAGGTAAGGAATTACCTTTTGTAATATTTCCTTTTTAGCACGACTTGGTGATCAAGGTGGCAATTCCCTCCCGCCTCACTTGGGATATAGGATTGAAATAACCGCTGTGCCTCGCATCCGACCTTGGACTGGTAAGTTGAGCCGCGCTGGGAAACGGGCACACCAAGGGAAGTCTCGAGTAAGATGAATTGCAAAAATATCAAGAAAACCCTCTGCAAAGGCCCTTGGGCTGCTCTGGTGTGGGCTAAGCAATAACCTACCAATGGCAAAGCTTCCCCCAGCAGTCATAAGTCAAATGCAGAGGCGGGAGCGTAGATCAGGGACCCGTTTTCTATCCAAATGTACCAAAATCCCATGAGTACCTCAGTATGGCTGTAGTTGCTGCATCTATCAAGTGAGAAAAATCATCTCAGAAGTGAAATACAAAGAAAAAACCAGCCTATTTTTCAAAAGAGCAATGTTTCTGCAGCGCTGCTCCGTGAAGGAATCGCTGGGTTTATTATTAGCAGTGTTTTTAATTAATAAGGGTATTTGGATGCCCAAGCAGGGAAAGGTGGGTGACAGCTGGTGTGTGACTGCCGGGCTCTGTCTCCCTCTTCTGACTGTTTCCAGACTTTGTTTTTTAACTAAAGAAGAAGCAAGCCCCAGCACAGAAAACACCTTTTGAACCGTGTTTTTTTTCCTCAAATCAGGATGAAAATGGAGCCGGGAACCACAGGAGCAGAGCAGTGGGGTTATCGCATTTCTTTTTAAGCAGTATGGCCAAAATTGTAGTGAGTTTTTTTTTGTGCAAGTGGAGAAGGTAAAACCTGGAGCCCAGGGAAATTGGGTGAGCATGATTATTTAAGGAATAACAGGGTTGCTGCCTTCACCCAGGCGCCTCGGGGCTCTGGGGATTTTGTTTTTCTCCCTTCTTCCCCCTTCTCTCTAGGAGGTGTTTAGTAAAACCTTAAGAAATATAAGCTGATAGATTCAACCTGCTCTTTGTATTTCCTCGTATTTGGCGGAAGAAAGTTCATTTCTATTATGTTCTCTTTATTTACAGGACAAGCAGCTGCGAACATATGTATTATACCATTTTCCTGACTGGGCAGAGCCCACTGATGCTGGACCCTGGCACAGGCAGCACTGAACAGGTCGGATGCAAACAGTTTTTCCTGCCTGGATTAATACTGGGTTCTGGCAGGCGATGGGAGATGAGGAGAAGTTGATTTGTGCATCAGCTTGGACATCTGGCTCCCCTACTCCCATGGAGAGTTGGTCTGCAAATGCCTGGAAAATGGGAAAGGAAGATTTAAGCAAGAGTATTAAATCATAGGTGCACTTTGCTGAAGCTTTTCTCCCTGCTTACAAACACGCCTCGTAACTCAAAATAAAGGGGATGCCAATAATATTCCCTAATTCACCCTAAATTTTGCATCTGGAAGTCGTGGCTGCCTTGCTCCAGACCTGACGCTGCTACACATGGAAGAGCAAATCTAATAAAACAGGCGCTGGGGAAAAAATGGGACCAGGGATAAAGTATCAGATGGGTTTTGCTTTGTTTCTGCTGAGACTCTGGATTGTGTCATCGAATAATCCCCCCGGAGGGGAGAGAAAAGCCCTGATATCGGATGACCTTAAAGCACGGAGTCTGATTTCGCAGTCCTCGTTCTTTTGCCTAACGATGAGGCCGGCTGTGACGAAGGGCCGGGCGCTGATTTGATGCAGATTTATTGATACTCCTGTTAAAAGGCTAAGCGGAGGCGAGCAAGCCAGGCGTTAAATAGAGGCAGACAGCTGGGGAAGCAAAGCTGGCAGACTCATGGGACCGAGAGCTTGCTTTACATGACATCAAATTTATAGGTGTTCAACACATCAAAACGTGGAAATTGCAAAATAATTTGCTGTGCAACCCTCATCAAAAAAATCCCAAAACCCAAACTGTATTTGATGGCCCAGGGGCTGATCCTATCCCAGGGGTTTTAGGAGCTTTCTCACTGATGGTGATGCTTCTCTGCACCTCCCTGAAGAATTTCCTTCCATTCCTGAAGATGAGATATACGTGATATTGCACAGGGAGAGAAGAAAAAGAAGTGGTGGTGCTCCTAAATCCTAGTGATTGACTCAAAGCCGATGCAAAAAAAGCCCTCAACAACCCCAGAAGATGCCAATTCTGCAAGCTGGGGATGGCTAACTTGAATTTTCCTACATCCTGCTGGTCTGATATCTAGAGATCATCACTGCACAAGACCAGGTCTCCACTGGCTTGAATGTCCCAACCTCTCCGGAGGTTTATTTGCATCCCATGATGCCCTTCTGCTCCCAAAGTCAATCAGTGTTGCCCAAAATACATTTAACCTGGGAGCTACAGAGTGTTAGGCAGTAGGCGTCGATACAATGGTTGCAAGAGCAGCTTTATCTCAGGGCAATCTGGGCTCCCGCACCCACCAGCGCCCGTGATTTTACCGCCCCGTCCTCCGGTTTCTGAGCGATTTTAGGGAGCTCAAGGTGAGTTTATTGATGGTAAAACTTCTTTTTGTGGAACTAAGATGGGGGGGGTAGTGGGGTTTAATTGGCAAAGGTAACAGCGTTCTTCGTTTCCTCCCTTTATTTCTAGTGTGGTTACCCTTGTGTTTTCCAACAGTTCTAGTCTGCGTTATGCTTATGTTTGTATGCAAGGGTTTGGGGGAGAAAAAGCTTATTATGTAAAAAATTAGAGGAAAAAAATCCCAGGCTATCTGACTCATAAATCAGCCATAATCAATCACGACCTTTCATTTGTCAGGGGATCTAACAAAGCGTGGGTTTATCTGAAGATGGGTTATTTTTGCTGCCCAACGGAGCTGTGGTTGAGCTTTCACCAGCTAACTGGATTGCAAAAAATTACATTTCTTCCCAAAATAGACCCAGCTGAAGGGTTGTGTATCTGGGGACCCTTACTTAGCGGGGAAATCTCTTGGGGGATGTGTGGCACTTTGTCTGTTAGAAAGTACTGGGTCGTTTTTAGAGCAAAAATATTTATGCCTGCAGCTGAGTGGGTATTTTGGTGTTTCTTCTGCCAGCACCAGCTTCCTAAAATCCTCAGAATTAGCCCCACAATGTTATGTGCAGGAAGCAAGGCTTGTGACTGATGTCATCCCTTAATACGCCCAGGTTTGGGGGAGGGTTGGCCTTCCAGAGGTGTTTGCCCCTAAAATAAATTGGTTCCTGTTCCTGAGCAAAAAGTGTTGCGTTAATGTGGTCCAAAAGAAAATCCCAAATCTGTTTAATCAAGAGGTGTCTTCAAAGAGCAACTGGGTTAAGGCTGGAGCCCATACCGGGCTAAAGATAGTCTTTGCCTTGGGGGAAAATGGGTCAATAATTTGGCAACTCAGGCAGAGCCAACCTAACCAGCCCTGGGCACTTCCAGGTATTTAGGGGCGTACCCTGTTCGCTTTACATTTTTAACCCATTTGGCTTGAATTGTTAGACTTTTCTTCCTTAAAATAGATGATTAATGATACGGTATTGCCATGGATGCAGGCAGCCGGAATGGGGGATGCGGAGAGCCTGGCTCTCCAACCCCTCTCAAAGTGACTTTGGGAGGCATCGACCGGGCTGCCATGAATAGTAACCATTCTCCCATCCAAGTCAAGTGTGAAAGGCAATCATTGGAGGTCAGATAATTAGGAGATTAATTAGCATCTGTGACAAAATCCAAAGAAACTCATATGGGGAATAAAACAGCAGGTTTGAAGACGGGGATCTGGAAGCGGTAGCGTGGGTACGGTGTAAAATCTGTGCTTAGGAGATGGGGAAAACCGAACTCTGCTTCTGCAAAACCCCTTTTATCTGTGCAGGGCACCCCCCAAAATTAAATGGGTGTTTATGGCCAGCAAGCAACCCCTTTAACTGAACTTGTGTCCATAATCGTACCCGCAGCTCTCTGAAATAATTACACTTCACTTACGCCTTCCTGTGAGCTGCAGAAGTAAGAGACTGGAGATGTAACCCCGGTGAAATTTATCCGGATTTTCTAAAAGATGGGCAGAGCGGAGGAGGAGCGCGGGCAGGGCTCGGAGCTCTCCTTGGCAAGTGAGATGTGGGTGCTGGCAGGAGGTGCTGGAGGTGCATCCGCAGGGAAGGTCCCAGCTCCCCGGTGCATCCTCAGCCTGGCCGGGAAGGATTCCCATAGCGGCGAGCACCCGGTGAGCGTGCAACGAGGCTCTTCCCCTGCCCAACACCCTTTAAAATCTCTCTTCTTTCTCCTCCCAGCGTC